TTCTATAATTTGTAAAACTACGGTGTTAAAAACGACCATTTCAAAAATACAGATTCTAATGGTCAGATATAGATATACAGATACTAAAGATATAATAGGCAGGTATTTGCTTTCAAGCAGAACACGGGGGAAAACAAACTTAGCGGGAGTGTTTACGTGTTAGGCGTAATGACGTACAACGGCCTCGACAATTTCTGTAGTCCTATTCAGCCACTCGGTAACAACCATCGTTTTTCAGACACGTAAACTCTTCAAAAATCACCAGTGGGGTCACTGCTGATGTATTTAATGTCGTAGAACAAAACGTGATTTATCTCTTAAATTTGTGTCAACCACAGACCTTATTTCGAGCTATTTTCCAAAACCCTATGGAGAAAATGCATTGCTTTTTGATGAAGGAACCGGAAGTGCTAAAAATGCTAACTTACTTCCAGATTTTACGACGCGTCACTAGGGTTGCCAACTTCCAGAAATGGAAAAACGGGACACATGCATGTGTCCCACGCGTGCGTGCGCGCGAAGATTTTCGGGTTTCTGGCGGATTTAGTTACTTTTTTTTGTTACTTTATTTCGGTTTTAGGGTTAGGTTAGGGTTATGTTATTAAATTATTTTGGGGGAGCCAGCCCCTAGGGTTCGAAAATGTTTTTGGGGGTCAAACCCCCCAAAACCCTCAAAATGCATAGAAAACTATGCATACCTATAACACAATACAAACACAATGGTCTTACACCTGCATTAGGCTACTACATCACATTGTACATCAGCATGTTCAAATCGGATAGGTGGGCACTAGGGACATCTGGGCACCTCGATGTACAATTGGCTATTTTGTCCAAAATGTTAAAAACTAAAATATTTGAAAAATGGTATTAAGTAATGCAAAGTATACATGTGAACATGCACGGTACATCATTATTAGACTTAATGTTATCCTTCAACCAACCATTGTTGCTCGCTTGTGCAGTTCTGTGCCAGCATGCTGTTTCAGGTCGTTTTCTCCACCGTGACCTATTGAAAACTCCCTCCGACACAAGGTGCAGAAGACCCGAGACAGATCTCCACTCACGGGCTTTACCCAACTGTATTTTTCTTCCCACTGTATGTTGTAAGACACAAGTCTTTTCTTTTTAGAAGGGCCAGGGCCCAGAACCACATCCTCTCTCTCTTCTCCTCTTTCATTATCACCTCCACCGGCAGCGCTCATTTTTCCGCACAACTGAACAGGCTGACATGCCACACACAAACAATGATGCCGCGCCCGCGAAAATCTCACACACACACACACACGTGCGAGCATTGTGCCTGCCCTGTCAACTGAGCGGTCCTAGCGCCCTTCCCATACAGCACACAAACACACAGGCACGCAGCCAGACACACTGCATTGCGTGCAAACAGATTCTTTTTTATTTTGTTTCCCTTTACCGGGAATCCGGGACAAACAATGACCCGTACGGGACACGCCCCTTTTGGCTCAAATACGGGACGTCCCGGCTAATACGGGACGGTTGGCAACCCTACGCGTCACTGCGGTTCTCTATTCAAGCTCGGGAGGGTGTGTGTTAGTGTATGTGTGGCGTGAGCGAGTGAGATAAAGTGTGCGCACCGGTTACGTGTATTGTTGTTGTTAGCATCTGGTGCTAGCTAGCTGCGCTAACGTATATAAGGAGCTTTTTCAACAACAAGGTGGAGGAGAGTCCTCTCCTGTCAGACTGAGAGACTGATAACCTCAGCTCAGGTGAGGTAAAGGACTCTCTGAGTGTTTAGATAGTTAACTTAGTCTGAGTTATCTCAGTGGGTCTCAAACGGTTTGGTCACCATTTATGTAAACACATATTTCCATTTGAGGGCGGAGTGATTAGTAAAATATGCATGAATAATACCAAAAAAAACGTTAACTAGGTGAAAAAAGGTAAGATAAACTATTAAAACATGTTGAGAGCTAAAACTAGTCTTTGCTTCTGCCTCAAAGAGGAGCAGGGGGGAGAGCGGGGAGACAGGAGAGGCTGGTTCACAACTATAAATGAACCAAAAACAAATAAATAAACAAGTTTCAATGTTTTTTCATATTGGATATGGTATGTTATTGGTTATGGCCATGTTCTTATGATTTTATGATTATTTAAATGTATACAGTTATGTTTCATGTGGGTGTAGTCTCTTTATTTAATGCTTAACTATTGGTAGCATCTATAGGTCACCTTCTTCACCTGCAGAGTCTTTTAACCATATAATTGACACTATCAACTCCATTTCCTGCGGAAATGAAATAATCTTGCTTGGTGATTTCAACAAACATTGGTTGGATAAATCATCTGATGGAGAGACAAAACTTTTCAGTAGTCTAAATGTTAAACAGCTAATTAATGAGCCAACTCGTATCACTCCTAGAACCCAATCTCTGCTTGACTGGATACTGGTGTCACACCCTGACAGAATCTTAAAATCTGGTGTCATGTCGGATTGCTTCAGCGATCATTCAATTGTTTATTGCGTATGGAAAATCAAATTAATTAAACTACCTCCAAAACTAGTCAAAATCAGACAATATAAAAAATGGAATGTTGATTTATTTATTAATGATGTTGTTGCCCTTAATTGGGACAGATTTCAATGAATACCTTTTGTACAAGATGCTTGGGATTTTCTGCATAAAGAGCTCACTGATGTCATGAACAAACATTCACCTGTGAGAACGGTTAAGGTCAAAGGTCAACATCTCCCTTGGATCAATTCTGAACTCATCAGTCTCTTTAGGGAAAGGGATAAAGCATGGTCGATATATCGTCATTCAAGGACTATAGCTGATTGGGAAGTATACAGGCATCTCCGAAATCTGAGTAAAACCAAAACCCGAAATGCTAAATCAAACTACTATAAAGAATCTCTCACATCGGACTTTAAGAATCCCAAGCAATTTTGGACTAAAATTAAATCTATTTTAAATAAATCAGGTAAATATTCTATTAATAAAATAAGAACTGCTGATACAATAATTCATGACCCATTATCCATTGCCCAAATATTTAATCAGCATTTGGCTAATGTATGTTCCACACTACTATCTGACTCCTATTTGACGACTGGTATTTCTAATAGTAACTCATACTGCAACAGTTATTTTTCTTTTAAGAAGATTCCACCACACGGAGTTCATAATGCTATCACAGAATTAAAAGTGGATGGCAGTGCAGGACTCGATGGTATAGAAAACAGGTTCATAAAATTGGCATCCCATATTCTCGTGTACCCACTTGCTGATTTGTTCAACCTGTCTTTGTCCACCTGTGAGTTGCCGACTATTTGGAAATGTGCACGCATCACTCCACTGCATAAAGGTGGTGATTTACTTGATACAAATAATGATAGACCAATCTCTATGATCTGCTCTATTTCCAAAGTTTTGGAGAAAATAATTTATAATCAACTGTCACATTATCTCAATACTTATAATATTTGATCTCCGGTTCAATCTAGTTTCAGGCCTAATCACTCATCACAACAACTGCCCTACTTACATTTACGAATGACTTGTACTCTGCTGCAGATGATGGTGAACTCACAGGTGCCATTTTTATTGACTTGACAAAAGCCTTTGATTTCGTTGATCGATATCTGCTCTTGGATAAACTTCACGGCATTGGCCTTTCTAATAATACAGTGTTATGGTTTAACTCGTACCTTCACAGTAGAAAGCAATGTGTGGTTGTTAATGGAAAACAGTCTGACCTGTTGATCCAACAAAAGGGTGTACCCCAAGGATCAACTCTGGGCCCACTTCTGTTCTCTGTTTACATAAATGATTTATCTTCTTGTCTCATTAATTGTTGTACTCACCTTTATGCTGATGACACTGTCATATATACATCCAAATCAGATTTTTCACAAATTCAGATCTCTCTTCAATCAGATTTTAATATCTTACAGGACTGGCTATCACACAATAAACTACTGCTTAACAAAACAAAATCTTATACCATGGTCTTTGGTACCAGGCAGAAGCTCAGATCCAAACCTAATGTAGTAATAACATGTAAGGATGGCACTTCTCTGCATAAAGTTGATAGCTTTAAATATCTTGGTGTATGGCTAGACTCTGAACTTTCATTTAAACTACAGATAAAGCATGTAATACAAAAAGTCAATTACGGAATCTGTGTTTTACACCGCTCTCGCAATTGTTTTACGCTCAGTGTCCGAAAGAGAATTGATTCTCAACTTATTCTTCAGATTATGGACTATTGTGATGTTGTCTACCAAAATGCACATAAATCAGATCTTGCTCCACTCAACATAGCCTACAACAGACTATGCAGATTTGTTCTTGGTTGTCCTTTTCGTACACATCACTGCACAATGTATAACCAACGTAAATGGCCTTCTTTAAATGTAAGAAGACACACGCATTGGCTTCAGCTGATATTTAAATGCATTTATCTTAACTATCCCCCTTATTTAAAGCAGTATTTTGTACCCTACTCACCAAATCATCAAGTTAGACATTCTGTTCAGATTTATTTCTCTGTCCTCTCTGCAAAAAAATGGATTGGCAGAAGAGCGTTCATGTTCAAAGCCCCAACTGACTGGAATACTTTACCTGCTGCTATTAGATCTCTGTCATCATTGGGTTTATTTAAACATGCATTGTTATCTCACTTTCAGCTGGTCTGCACTTGTTATAACTGATATTGATGAAACTGATTTGCTTGACTGTCTCAAATTGTAATGATTGTATGCATTGCTTGAATTTCACTTAAAAGACTGTATGTGGTTTGTCTTGTGTGTCATGTTTTGCATTTTGTCTTTTTGTTTATGTCTGTAAGTTGTTGCTATTGTCGGGACCCCCTTGAAAACGAGATGGTGCATCTCAAGGGGTTTATCCCAATCAATAAAAATGTCTATATATTATTTCCCCCTCAAAATGCACCAGATTGATGCATTTAAGTCCAATATTTAAAACAAATCTTACTGGGGAGAATGCCCCCGGACCCCCCTATAGGATTTGAGGTCCACCCCCACTTAAAATATGTTCAAATAGGTTCCTAAATACATTTGCACATTTTTAAAAATAGTAACCCATGTCCATGTGTTTATTTGTAGGTAGTACATTTAGAGGGCTATCACTATGGGCAGCAACGCTGTAAAAATAAATCGAGCAAAATGGCACAAAAAACTGGTAGTGGCCAGGCTGGGTGTATAATTCCCGGCCTGACTTATTGTCCCAGTCCGGCCCTGCTGGAAGTCAGAAGACCCTCACACAACTCTGCTGATCTACACAACTTCACCAGGTGAGGACTAACAAACACAGATTTATTATAAAAACTTTACTTTTCTGTGTAAAACTGCAGCTGCTGGATTAGTGTCTGCATGGAAATTGGAGTCAGACTCCAAGTGTTATTAACTCTCATCACTCCTACTCCTTAACAGACGTTTAAATCAGGTTCTGAAGTCTGTGTTGTTTCTTCTCAACAGGTTGGAGAAATGGCCTCAGATCAAATGATCATTGCTGCTCTGGGACGACCTTTCACCCTAGGGATGCTCTATGATGCTCGGAGTGACAAACTGGTGCCAGGTAAGACTTCACATAGTCACAAAGCTTTCATCATAGTCACCGTACAACAACAATTCACCAGGCCTGACATTACTTTGTTAAGTTATCTTTTGATTGTCGTCGTGCCATTTTAAATTGAGTTTGTTGTGAGAGTTGTTTCTTTGTCTCTTTGTGCAGACTTGGACAGAGAACATTGGTCAGAGCTCCATCAGTTAGTGCGGAGCGGAGTTCACTTACTTAGAGGAAGAAATACGATAATCTTCAAGTCAATAAAATAATTTAAATGAATATTGGGAGTCAAGTCGTTAGTGTGTTAGTGTGCTAGTGTGTTAGTGTGTAATAAGCGGGATAATGTGCAGCGAGGCGGGCATTATTCAGAGTGATCAGGGAGCCCGACGCTAAGCGGAGGGATCTTGATCAGCGGGTCGGGTGTTGTTTTTTTTTTACTAATGACCGCCTCGCTGCACATTATCCCTTTCTTCATCTTAAGCCTCTGCCTTTAACTATTGCCTGCCCAGGGACAGAGATGCCTTTCTGGCTCACTGAGAATAAAGTCAGAATTCTGAGGAAAAGTCAAAATGTTGATATTAAATCCTGAATTCAGAATTTACAAAATGTATTTACAGAGTTCTTTTTTTGTGTACTGTATGTACAATTATATTTGCTCTCAGAAAGTCTTTAATCTCAGAACTGAAAAAAGGAAATCACTTCAGATCTCCTCTGTACTCTAGAATTCTTAAATATCGAATGCTAGAGTATAGAAGAGTAAAATGGCCACACACACACACACACACACACACACACACACACACACACACACACACACACACACACACACACACACACACACACACACACACACACACACACACACACACACCATGTATGGGGACCTCCAATGTGTCCCCATAAGGGAGGCGAGTCCCCACACGTAACTGTGTAAACAGATGTAGGTCCCCACAAGTATAGTAATGCTAGGCCACACACACACACACACACACACACACACACACACCATGTATGGGGACCTCCAATGTGTCCCCATAAGGGAGGCGAGTCCCCACACGTAACTGTGTAAACAGATGTAGGTCCCCACAAGTATAGTAATGCTAGGCCACACACACACACACACACACATACCATGTATACATCACTTCAGGGGACATTACATTGACTTACATGCATTTCCTGGAGACTTATCCTAACCTTAACCATAACCAACACATGCCTAATCCTAACCCTAACCAAGTCTTCACCCTAAAATTAATGATTCCCCTTATGGGGACCTCCAATTTGTCCCCATAAGGGAGGCGAGTCCCCACACGTGACTGTGTAAACAGATGCACAGAATATGTGCATTTCCAGGAGAGGTTCAATGTTAAATGATATCGTGCAAAATGACAGGCTAAAACCCAGGAATAAGTGTTTGAAAGGCGGGAAAAGTTGTTTAAAATAGTCTGATACCTCCAGGGCGCATCACCGTATTTTACAAGCCAGGGAAGGTGTCTGAATCCTGGGTAAATATTGTTTAAATAGTCTGATACCTGGCACTGTATCAACCCCTGGGAACCTTCAAGGTTAAATAAATGTTTTATTATTTATTTAATTATCACACGATTTTTACAAAAACAGTATACACAATATGCATAATAAACATAATAATAACATGATTAAAACATGATTAGCAGGGGCCCGGGGGCCATATTAGCCGTCTAACTTGTACGGTGCACCGAGAGAAAAAGGCTGAGTCCACGGCCTCTACCCCCACATCAGGAGTATCAACCGGCCCTGAAGAAGAGGTATCGCTGCTCTCCGCCCCTGAGCCCTCTTCGGAGGTATCTGACGGCGGTAGAACTACTTCCGATGATGATGATGATGCTGCAGCTGCTGCCGCCCTGAACATGGAGCGGATCTTCAATCCCTCCTTTATTCCAGGCGTATTCGCGTAGAACCGGTCTGCAGTGCTTACATCGTGACACATAAACCGGGCGAGAATCGACCTGCTTTCTGGATCTTGGTGATGCTTGATATTGTCTGCCAGGGCAGTGCGCAGGATTGTGAAGGTGACGGCTGTTTCTAGCCCAGCATCAGCCCAAGCCCTCTTCAAGTGAGCGTTCAGGTTCCTGGAGACATGCTTCCCTGTTGTGAAAAGGAAGAATTCATTCTGAGGACCCGACAAGCCCTCTTTTATCCCCATCCACCGCATGACCCAGCTCAACTCGTTCACTGTAAGCACCAGCTGTGCTTCGCCAAAAGTCTTGGCAGTCTTGTGATCCTGCACGTGGATGATGTAGCCCTCAGCAGTGCTCCTTAAGTCCGCCTCTAACACCTCAGTGTTGGTCATGTTTGCGTACACACCCGGACGGTGGCCATACAGGAGGCTCCAATGGAGGGTTAGATAGCTATATAGCAGGTACTGGGTGATTGAGGTCGGATTGCAAGCCATCAGGTCAAGTAAATCAGGGATGCGCTTCTCAGCGGCCGCCATGGCGGCGAGAAGCTCTGCCTGGCTCGGCAGACGATCCAGCTTGTTCCTCTTCACCTTGAACTGGTGGACAGTGACAGACTTTTTCAAGTCGTTCATGTTGGCTTTCACCTCTCTGATGATGTGGGTCATATCAGACTGGGTGAGCCTGCACCCCCAGAGCTTTGACTCAGACAAGTACCTCAGTAAATGGTTCACATTCTTCAGGAACAACAGCGATGTTGTGACTGCCCGGCCCGACTTTACAATATACTCGCTCCAGCCACGGACCCTCTTCGTGTCTTTTAGGAACAGCCAATCTGACAGCCGGTTAACACCATGGGCCATGAATACGAGGAAGTTCTTTATCCGGCTGACCTTGGACAGACACTTTTCTTTCCGTGTTACTGTCGGTGCGACACCCTCACAATGATCCCTGTATGTCTGAATGTACGTCTCCATGCTTTGAGGCAACGTGATTTCACGCATGGTATTCCCCCGTCCCTTCCCAGTGGACCAGTGATTTGGGGGAGAGGCCCAGTCCTTAGCCAGATTAGCTTTCAGCTTATTGTAGACAGACGCACGGGTCTTCTGGCATACAGGGGTCTCACTACCGGAGGCTTCTGGGGACCGCATGACAGTCTTGACCGGGGTCTTGAGAGGGGTTTCACTACCGGAGGCTGCTGGGGACCGCATGACAGTCTTGACCGGGGTCTTGAGAGGGGTTTCACTACCGGAGGCTGCTGGGGACCGCATGACAGTCTTGACCGGGGTCTTGAGAGGGGTATTGCTGCCGGAGGCTTCTGGGGACTGCATGACAGTCTTGACCGGGGTCTTGAGAGGGGTCTGACTACCGGAGGCTTCTGGGGACCGCATGACAGTCTTGACCGGGGTCTTGAGAGGGGTCTCACTACCGGAGGCTACTGTGTTTATGCCGGAGGTACTTGAGATTGCCAAGGCAGGCCGCCTATGAGCTCCCAAATTCCGCCTGGAACCTCCGGGAATTGTGGACTAAGCTCCATAAACTTACAGTCACCCAGAAATGTCACTTTAATAGCCCAAAAATATATAATACAAATGCATTTAAATAGTAAAAGGTACAATTGTGCTCCGAATTACCCGGAATTTGATTTATATAGCCCCATGAGAGTGAATAAAAATCATTTTCATGGAAAAAAGTGTTAAAACGCCTGATTAATATGTTTGTAATGCTGTTAGCAGGGTCTCACAGGCACATATGCAGAGATCCAGGGTGTTGCACAAGGCTTTTCTACCCAGCAATGAGTCTCTGAAAGGCGGGGGAAAGTGCTGTGAATAGAGGGAGAGAGCAGCCAGAGAGAAGCGGGCTGTGAGAGCCACAGAGCGCACCCAGAGATCTCCTTGCAACGCATAGCTCTTGCACCCAGACTGCACCCAGAGAACAGGCTGCTTCACAGCACTTTACAAGCCAGGAAAAGTGATTGAATCCTGGGTATACATGTTTTAAATAGTCTGATACCTCCAGGGCGCATCACCGCATTTTACAAGCCAGGGAAGGTGCCTGAATCCTGAGTAAACATTGTTTAATTGTTTTTAAATGTGTGGGCGCTGTTCAAAATGGCAGCCCACTGCTCCTAACACTAGGATGGGTCAAATGCAGAGAAACAATTTCCTCACGAGGGATTAATAAAGTATATCAAATCAAATAAAAAGAAACAGTGTTTTGTCACTTTCAAAACTCTCCCGTCATTGACCGGAGAAATTGGGTCGATGTTGTATTCAATCTGACCGTTAATATTCCAGTGAGACGAAGTACATACAATGACCGGAGTGATCCCATGTTCATTTAGTCCCAAAACCGGAGCATTCCCTCACCCTAATCCTAAACCTAACCAAGTCTTCACCCTACAATTAATGATTCCCCTCATAGGGACCTCCAATTTGTCCCCATAAGGGAGGCGAGTCCCCACACGTGACTGTGTAAACAGATTTAGGTCCCCACAAGTATAGTAATGCTAGGCCACACACACACACACACACACACACACACACACACACACACACACACACACACACACACACACACACACACACACACACACACACACACACACACACACACACACACACACACACACACACACACACTTTTATTATGGAAACTCCCGGCAGGATATGAAGCTGTAACCTGTAAAACATTGAAATTATAATTTGTTTGATAACTTATATAAATAAAAGTTTTGCCCTGAACTGATCCGAACACTGTTTGCTTTCCAATTTGTTCAGGTCTCAGATTGTGGAATGAAGAAACTCTAAAAGTAAAACAAACCCCTCAGCAGAGCAGTTATTTTGAAATGTCTGCATCTGACTCCATTGAATCCAAGTCCACTCTGATGGACATTGAAGCTTATCTGAAGACCAGTCTCATGTGTGGACTGATAGAAGTTGGAGGATCTGCCAAATATCTGAATGATGAGAAGAAATTGAAGAATCAGAGCAGAGTGACATTTCAGTACAAAGCTACCACCAAGTTCAAGGAGTTGTCAATTGATCATGTGACCCTGGACACCGAACAGATGGAGTTTATTAAGAAGGGCTTGGCCACTCATGTAGTCACAGGCATCCTGTATGGGGCAAATGCTTTCTTTGTGTTTGACAGTGAGAAGTTAGAAGACAGCCAGGTTCAGGAGATAGAGGGCAGCATGCAAGCTGTGATAAAGAAGATTCCTACATTTGATGTTGAGGGGAAAGTTGAAATCAAGCTGACTGATGAAGAGAAAGCCCTGACTGAGAAATTCTCCTGCAAATTCTACGGAGACTTCATTCTTAAAATCAACCCAGCCACATTTCAAGATGCAGTGCAGACCTATGTAGAACTTCCACAGCTACTGGGAACAAATGGAGAGAATTCGGTCCCAGTGAAGGTCTGGCTGATGCCACTGAAGTGTTTTGATCCCAACACTCCTGAGCTGATGACGGGGATCAGCATCGGACTAGTGAAGAAGACCCAAGATGTTTTGGGAGATTTAAAGGAAATAAGAATGAGATGCAACGATTCTCTGGGAGACAAAGTGGCAGAGGACTTCCCAAAGATCCGAAAAGACCTAAACACTTTCCACAAACTGTGTGGTTATTATGAATCCAGCCTCCAACAAACCATGGCAAAGAAACATCCCTCCATCCGAGTAGGAAAGGAAGATGAGAGCTCACTGGAAGAAGTATTTGAAGACAGGAACAAGTCACCCTTCAGCCATGAAAAACTAACCAAGTGGCTGGATCACAAAGAGAGAGAAATCAACGTCATCGGGGCCGTTGTGGATATCATGAAGGACGTTAAGATCGTCCAGAACCGGTCTGAACTGGACCAACTGTGAAATATCCAACTGTGTGCTTTGTATTCACCTCCATGGAGAGTGCTGACCCCTGCCTTGAAGCGATGGATCAATACGCAAACTCACTAAAATGGGCGAGCACCGAAGAAGAGCCATGGTAATGAAGCTTAGCGCAAGTTCAAGAAGGAAGACCATACCCCTGGTGTTACACGTCACTGCAAGCTCCTCTCCCATTAAGTAATCAGGGGCGGTACTCCCCAGCTAGCAATCATTGCACCTGCTAAACCCTTTAAATCTGCTCTTCCCTCTCTGTCAGTTGTCATTTCAGGTGTCAACGCACAAGTGTACGCGTCACGGCGTTCATGGTTAAGCCAAGCAGCAGCAGGGCTTTGGCCCAGCTGAGGGCTTCGTTCCAGCTCCAGGCATTTATTCATCAGCTCCGCAGTATCGCGGATTAAGCTACAGGCTGCGTTCCCCAGTCGGGTAGCGGGTCAGCCGGCCGTCCCGCAAGCCCGGACGCGGGAGGAAAAGACAAGGAAATCTGGCTCCATGGAAGTTCCTCCGGCCTAATGGGAATGGCTACTTCAAGCAAACAACTGACGTACGCTTCAGTCTCTTGAGAAGGCATCACTGGCATCAGGGCCGCCTAATGCAGCGCTTCCGGCTTCACGCGGAACGGGTCCTCATCACATGCGGAGTTTTACCCATTCTGGCTTCAACTACAACCCCTCCTGCAGGCAGGCAGGCAGGGCTTAAGCTATCCCATTGAAGCTATTCCTCCTGCGCTCACTTCAACAGGCGTCAGGGTAACATTGGCAAAGGCAGTTGCAACAAATTCACGAGATGTTTCGTATATTGTTACAACATTTGGGTCATGCAGAGTGAGATCGCTACCCCTTAAGAGAGGGGTGTGGCGTGTGCATGTGTGCGTGGGCATGGTATGAGCGAGCGGGATACATGTTTTTAGAAATAAACGCGGCAGCAGAAAAAAGGAAGGTCTGCGATCTTGCGAAATCTATCTTGCGAAACAGGAGAGCTAAATTATGCAACGACCTCCCAAGAAGAGCTCGCCTCTCTCCAGTCTTTCCGATAAAATGGGTTATTGAACCAGAAGCGTGTTGCTTCTGCCCTGGGAGACGACAGAGAGTCACCCCCCGTTTCCTCGACTACGGTCTGGGAGCCGACAGGAAGTTCAACACTATGCATTGCTACCTCTAGTCAGGGTTAAGGTGAGCTTCAGGCAGTGTTGGGGGTTACAGTGCTACAGTGCTACAGTATGGAGTTTCAGTAACGTATTACTTGCATTACTAATGCAGTCGGGTAATTACTCATTACAATGCTCAGTAACTAAACGCAGGTTCAAGCTTCAACACAGCGTTTCCTGAAATGAATGGCGTTCCGTAGGGCTTCTTTTCCTCAATGAACAAGTCGCTGCACATTATCCTGTTTATGACCAGATACTAAATAAATTAGGAATTCACTCCCAATATTAATTTAATGATTATTGACTAAATGATCGGTTTTCTCTTTTTCTTCTCCACTAAGAATATTCCGTTTCTTGGTGCACCAACGGCTGGATCTGCGACAACAACATCTCCTTGGCAGCAAGGCAAGTTTATTTATATAGCACTTTCAATACAAGGCAATTCAAATTGCTTTAAAAAATGAAAGACATTAAGAAATGGCATTTAAAATCAGTCATTTAAAAGGAAGCTAATAAAATAAACATTAAAAGAAAAAGTACATGGATCAAAGTACAGTGCAGTCTAAGATATGAATAGTTCAATTAAAAGCAGCGACAAAAGAAAAGTCTTCAGCCTGGATGTAAAAGTAGTCAGAGTTGCAGTGACTAAGGGTGCAACAACTAATCGACTAATCGATCAAATCGATTACCAAATTAGTTGCAACTAATTCAGTCGTCGATTCATTGTGACGTCAGCAGTGTGTTTACGTGCGTAAGCTCCAACGTTATTGGTCTTTTTATCAGTACCGGAGACATTTATAAATATATGTCATGTTTATTGCTACAAAAACATTATATCGCAGTCTAGTGTCACAACTCGTTCTAATATGCAAAGGACAAACAAATGCGCCTATGATGTATTTTCGATCAGATGAGATCTCTCTCCCCCATCGCGAGGGGACGGGGCAGTTTACACACACAGCTGCTACATGCAGCGGAGCACACTGCGGAGGTGGCGGAGAGAACGCGCTCCGAGGCGTGGTTAACTTCACCCGCTTCGATGTGGAGAATGCTCGTTGCCAAAGTGCAATAAGAGTTTATCATGTAAGGGCGTAACACGAGCACTTTGTCTAAACATTTAGCAAAAGTGCTCCACATCCAGACGGAGGAATGTACCGAGTTCCACTGTCTTTCTAGCAGCTCCGTAGCTCCATTCACGAGTAACGTTCCCACGTCAGATGTTATGTATGCTAGCAGCAACACACAGAGTAACTACATTATACAAACTCGGTTAATGATTAGAGGTAACTGAGTATTTATTAGTTTCAATTTCAGCTTTTCTGTTTACAGCCTGTCGACAGATTATTTAATACAATTCGGTAAATGCTCAGGGCAATCTCGATGACAAGGTCAATGTTCCCCCCTTTCTACGCACGGAGATAATGTAATCTAATAGCGTGCAGGTCAAGGCTGGCTCTTCAAAGCAGATATTACGACGCGCTTTAATGTTCCCATCATCGTTCAGCGGAACTCTTTCAGCCTTAAGTCAAGTAGGAGAAACTATGCGTGCACCGGCTATTCGGGTAATAATATTAATAGCGTCTCTCCCCAGATCAAATCACCCACTGCTCAGGGAGATCTCCTAATGCGTTGCCTTCACGCATCTAGCGTTCAAATACAACATTACTAAACTACAACTCCGCTCAACTGGGAAAAGAGAAGAAGAAACAGAAGAGACTCCTCCAGGAGCACAGCGTTCCTAATCATGAGGAACTACAGGCCCAGTCTCACACCGGAGTTCCTAGCCATCACATCAAGCTCATGGTATTATCGTTCCTCTAACCAACTGCGTGCATCCACATAAACGTCTTCAACGACAGTTGCTCTTCCTCACCGGGCAACCGTACTTTGCATGCGGATTCTTCGGCACGCATCATCTCCCGTTTCCTGGACGTGGCATCCGCCGGCCTCACGACGACCGTGTTTTCCCCGACTTAAGGACGTGCACTGCACATCCTCCGTTTTGGGGGGGATATCTGCATGAGATCATTCGCATAGCGGCACACTCAGATTTCCACTATTTCTACACATTTATTATCACACTTGCTGGATCTAACACTAGCGTCCCTCCATCATCCTCACTTCAGATGATAGAAGACAGTCTTAATCACTCAATCAGCTCATCAGCATCTATGACTCATCCCGGCACACTTAACGCTAATTAAGATATACTATATCATGGGTCATGTCTCAGTATTTAACTAAGTGTACGTCTTTTCTGCGTGCATCCTGCACTTCATTCATATTCTCGGGTTCATGCTCACTTGGCTCGTGGTAAACCAGGTTACGATATTCATGCATCACCGTACTCAAGCTAACAGCTCTCGGGCATTATATCATCTACATCTCCCTCTTCACCGGACATCGGCTCGTGCCGCCAATCAAGATCTCTTCAGTTTACCTATGGTAAATATGCATATAACTGGTGGTGGCGTCTAATAGCATATCAGGGCTTTCGTTCAGACAGGTGCAGCCATTCAAGGCATATCTCCCTCCTCCCTGCCAACTCGGACGGTGGTCCTCCTCCGCCTTCATATCCCACATTCGCCCGGACATCCGTGCGTGCTGGCTATCCAAGGTCCGAACACTAAACGGTATTTATACATACAACTGGTGGTGGTCTTAGCAAGTCAGCACATGTACGGTCACCGTGTTCATGTTTAAACACTTCATATCGTCGTGACCTTCAGGTTCGCTCGTATTGAATCCTGCCGCGCAGGTTGCGGCCAGTGGGTCCGCATTATGTTTAAACCCTGCACGTGCAGGGCGAGTAGGTCAGTGTCATGTTTAACCCTGTGTGTACAGGTTGCGGCCTATGGGTCAGCATTTGTTTAACCCTGTGTGTGCAGGTTGCGGCCTATGGGTCAGCATTTGTTTAACCCTGTGTGTACAGGTTGCGGCCTATGGGTCAGCATTTGTTTAACCCTGCGTGTGCAGGTTGCGGCCTATGGGTCAGCATTTGTTTAACCCTGGGTGTACAGGTTGCGGCCTATGGGTCAGCATTTCGTTTAACCCTGTGTGTACAGGTTGCGGCCTATGGGTCAGCTTTTGTTTAACCCTGTGTGTACAGGTTGCGGCCAGCGGGTCAGCGTCATGTTTAACCCTGCGCGTGCAGGTTGCGGCCGGTGGGTCAGCGTCATGTTTAACCCTGCGCGTGCAGGTTGCGGCCAGTGGGTCAGCATCGTCTAATCCAACATGCAGGCGCTAAGCATGGTTGGCGTTCACATTAACCCTACAGTTATTCCGACATTCTCATCATGTCCCTGTGTTATCTCATTTCATCCACAGATCTCCTCAATCAGCCAGCAAGGTAAGAAATGCTTCACATCTCAGCACTTCTCACTTCTCTTCTCTTTGGGGGTTCATCGGAGCGGTTTTCCCCTCCCGAATGATTATCCTACAAACCGGGGCCTAATCTCCAAACATCAGTTGATTCATTGTTGTAATCTGTCATCATAATTTTCTATACCACGTGTCCGGTATTAAACATGTATTTCATACATCACGTCTCTCATGATTGAAATGAAGCTTAGCGCAAGTTCAAGAAGGAAGACCATACCCCTGGTGTTACACGTCACTGCAAGCTCCTCTCCCATTAAGTAATCAGGGGCGGTACTCCCCAGCTAGCAATCATTGCACCTGCTAAACCCTTTAAATCTGCTCTTCCCTCTCTGTCAGTTGTCATTTCAGGTGTCAACGCACAACCCGCCTCCACCCCTTCGCCTCCTGTCTCCTAATTCAGGGCCAAGCTAATCCTTCTTCCTCCAGACCAGACCGAACCATTATCACCACCACCAGTGTCTAGACCCCGGGGGGTTCATCGGAGCGGTTTTCCCCTCCCGAATGATTATCCTACAAACCGGGGCCTAATCTCCAAACATCAGTTGATTCATTGTTGTAATCTGTCATCATAATTTTCTATACCACGTGTCCGGTATTAAACATGTATTTCATACATCACGTCTCTCATGATTGAACTACTCAGACGAGGTCTTACAAAAGATGAGAGGAAAAGCCCAAGATTTCATAGCCATGGCAAAAAGATGCACAGATGACTCTTTCTTCTTAGTAGCCATTGAAAATAAGAAGTTCAAAGGAGCAACCATCTACTGGTACCGCCACGGCATTCTGAAGAATGAAGACTTCAAACCACGCAAAGAAGAGAAGACTGAATACTTCACATCACTCAGTGAGATGAAGACTGAAGACTTCCCATCCCTCAGTGAGGTGAAGAAGCATACCGGAAAGTAGAGATCTAAACTGGTGTAAGTTATTTTTCATGCATTTTGAGTAAAATATTTTCATATATCTTTTCTCTAAAAACCCTCAGAATGACTAATTAAATATTTTGTTTTGGTTTCTCCATTAGATGCCTGTGATCTCACACTAGAAGGGAACACTGCAGGCAACTTTCTTGTGGTCAATACAGTTTTCTTTCCGCTATTAATCATTTTCTGAAGATACTTTATTTAGATGTTTCTGTTATGATCAGGGTTAGTTTTCCTTCGGATGCTTGCAACACATTTAGGGGATATCTGTGCTGGCCTCTAACACCAAATAAATGACCCTATTAACCCATATTAACCTGCAAAAGGTGTTCCACAGGGCTCTATCCTGGGGCCCTTTCTGTTTAATCTTTGTGAAGATGATACCAAGTGACTGTTATATCATTCTCTATGCTGATGACTCTGTTGTGTCCTGTTATGTGGATGCTGTTACAATTCTTCAGCACTTCCTTGCTGATTCTGAAGTTTCTCTCAATAACTACAAGTTAGTTCGTAGGGCAGATACATTGAAAACCATGCCCTTAATCACAGCCAGTATATGAATAATGGTATTCTCATCTCTACTGAGAATGGAACAAATATTGAAAGTCAAATAATAAAAGTATCTTGTTTTTTTATTTGGAAAGCAAAATAATATTCTAAATGCAATTTGACTTTCTTCTTGAGGATCTTGAGGAAAATCTTATCCACACTTTGGAGTTCAGTATCTTGCTTGATGATTGCAGGCACTGGGAATCGGACCACTGTCCTACCGACTCCTGAGCCACAGATGTATCTTTTATTATTGTTGTCACATGGATCGATTATCTTGTAGTTTTAATTACAGGGTTTATAACCTTTTTTCACATGTTGATTGTGGGTTTTATGGATTTCTCTCCTTTTCTGAGGACGTTTTGGATGTTTAGCTGCATTAATAAAGTTTGATTCTCACATGTTTATGCTTCTTTTGTTGAAGTAGTATGGTTCATTACAAATGTAAGTACGTGTACACAATCTGAGTTATCAGATCGATGTTGCACCTACATTTATATATATTATAGTATACAGTGTTATTTTACTGTACAGTATTTTACTCTCAATTTATAGATCTATATTTTTCTTATTCCTTCATTTTATTTTCACTATTACTTCACTCAAACTATTTAATTTCTCCTAGCGTCTTAAGTATATCTCATGATGAAGTGTTGGAGGAGCCAAAACTATGCTGTAACTGAAGCATATGCCGACAATCCTTTCAATACCTTGTTTTTCAGAAGCAAAGGAGATCTGTCTTTTAAAATAAGTCAAACAAAAGTACAAAGTCTCTAAGTCAGAAAGATGTCTTTGCAGCTCTGCAGGCCAGACATACATTGCACATGTTCTTCAATATTCAGACTGCAAACATGAATTAATATTACTATTAATAATGAATAACTAATTATTTAAATGTTTATTGCTACGGTCTCAGTTGTTGGAAACTTACTTAAAATGTTTTATGGTCTTATTTTAACAAAGTGATCACATGACTCCTTCTGATGTTACTGACGTTCTGCTGTAAGCTAGCTAGCTAACGTAGCTAACCTAGTAATTTCAGATATACTGACAGTTATGAGACGACTAACTCTGAGACAGAACGTTGATCAGCTTTATAATCCTGAACAACCCCAAATGGTTGAAATGGACATATGCAAAATAAATGATTTGGTTTTAAAGTCAAGATCTTCAACACGAATGGAAACCAACGTTGGTGAGGTCAACACAGCTTTACAGGTTATAGGACAAATCACAATTGTAAAGATAACTATTGTTAAAAATGAATTGTTTAACAATGTCAGATTGAATAATAAAGTGAAGTTAAAACAGTTTGACAATCAAGTAATGTCACTTTGAAATGAACATGGTAGTGTTTTTACTGATTTACCAAAAGTTGAGTATAAGGCCTGTCTTTGAGTTAGTCAGTAGTGTACAGTCAGTCTTTTTAAATAAACAATAGTAATACCAGCATCCCTCAGGAAACAGACCCAGGCCAGTAAAACCATAACTGAGCTTTTAGCACGAACATTTGTGATTTCAAACTCAAACATTTTCACTGGAAAAGTTGAGGAAAGTGAGTTATCTCACAAAAATACTAATTAAATATATATATTTGACCTTATCCTAATTCAACTAGATATATTGGAACAACCCTTGGCGTTGTCCCAATACAAGAAAAGACTGCCAGACTGTTGATAAATTGGAAATATATAATATTAATTGTTCCTGGTCTGATTAGATTTGTTGCTGGGTTATTTTATATTCTCAAACTCTGGCTTGAGAATGTTGGTTATTTAACTGAAGGGTAGTTTTGATTCTGTCTTTAACAATCTTCCAAGAAATAGCTCCTCTACATACAGCAGAGGGAGCCAGTTTCTTAAATTAAATAAAGGTTTGTACCTACTTCTGTTTCTAGCAAGTGATGATGGAGAGACAGACAAATGGCAGTCTCTATTGTAATAAAAAGTTATAGTAAATTAGTGATGGGTTTTTTCTGTATTTGTATTTATTTATAGAAGGACCATGCATACAAAAACATTAATCTCAGCAAAGAGAAGAGATGCAATATGCCAGATTATAGCTAATAGCTAATTTCCTGTAATGTTAGCTTGTGTTAGCTTGTGACTGTCATTAAACATTAGCTGATGTTAGTTTTTGACTTTGACCCAACAACGTTTGCTAAAGTCAGCTTGTGACTGTCATTAACATTCATTAGATAGCGTTAGTTTTAGAACATTCTACTACAGACGGAGACCAAGCAGTTTCAATGTAATGTGGTGTTCTCTGTATTAATACTTGAGGTTGAACATCATGTATGGCAGTGGCGAACCGTGTCTATCACAACTGGACCTTCTGTAGACACATACCCCCCCCCCCCCCGCGGCATTATAATGTCCGTCTTTTCACTGAATTGTCGTCTTGAAAAGGGTACTCACAACGATTCCGCAACAACTTCATCTTCACCTGTTGCTCTTGTCATTTCAATGTTAAAAACAATAAAACGGCATGAATTGCTTCGTCGCATTGATCCTCTGTCTCTCTCCAGTGAACTAGTGGGCCTTCTGGAACACCCTGGAACCGAGGGGAACTCTGAAAGAACACGCCCATTGGCCACAAATCAATATCTGATTGGTTGATCAAACTGTCAGTCCAAACGTACGCTCTCATTCAGAGCAACGGCCAGGGCCTTCGATCAAGGATGTAGAATACCTGGGTGAAGGATATTCTACCCAGAGACCCAGAACAAGATCTGATTGGTTGCTTTATTTTCTAACACAAACCCACTGAAATGCGTAGTGCATGGTCTGAGAAGGACAAACAAATCAACGTAACACTGTAATATTACAGATCAACAACACAGATACGATTCTCATTTATTCATTTTATATACATTTATTACATTTTATTTATATAATTAAATCGATTTTTTGTTTGTTTTATCTGAGTGTTCCAGGGTATTCTCTGAATACCTTGAAGGCCCTGACGGTTCGCCACTGATGTATGGACAGCTTCATCACAGACACATGTTCTTTATGGCAGCATTGTTTTGCTGAGAGAACATCTTGCTAGAAAGCCTTATAGTTTGGGGTTGGCTGACCAGGCCTTGATATTAGCACACAATGCATTTGAGAAGGAAGTGTATGAAACATTCTGTGCCAGCAGCAGAAGGGAAAGACCCATTTTATTTATTTTTTAATTCACGTCCTCCTTCGTTCCTTGAGTTTTTTGGTCATGGCCTTCTGCAGCAGCTCTGCATGTATGCTGTTTGCTAAACAAGGCCAACTGTCGTCTGAAGGAAGTGTTTAAACTATTCTGTACCAGCAGCAGAAGAACAAGGTCCTTCTTTGTTTTCTGTAATGTAGAAAACGTATTAATAAAGAGTTATTCACATCATGTAGTCACAGAAAATATAAACGAAATATATAGCTTAAAAAACAGATCAATAAAGTGAAATAACCCTTTGGTTAGCCTTAGTAAAAAAAGATTACTAACATTTATGAAATGGGGTTTTAAACTCTAAATTAATTTTATAGTTAAGTTATTTGTGTAAAATGTTTGAATGCTGATCTGTCATATATCTTCTTTGATGATCTGCAGTTTGAGAAGTTACTCAGTTAGATTTATGCATTTGTTTCTCTGAACCGGTCTGAATGTCTTTGTTCCAGCTGCTTGTGTTTCTGCCTCTGCAGCAGCTCTGCAGGGATGCTGCATTCCTAACAACGCACACCTGGCGTCTGAGGAAAGCGTGTCAATTCCCTTGTGTCAGCATCAGAAGGGAAAGGCCCTTCTTTGTTTTCTGTCTTTGTTCACTTCCTTGTTCCTTGAGTTTGTTTTTTATCTTTAATTTAATGCCTTCTTAATTTAATATTTGGATGAAAAATGAGGGAACACGTTAATCTAGTGCGTTCACACATTGGTTGGTCAAGTTTAATACATAAGAGTCTCCTTTACAGATTAAAGATATGTATTTGTAATTTCGTTCATACAGCATCATTAAGCAGATTTGTATAAAACAATAAAACACAAGATGTCAACCATTTTAATAAAGTTATGTTTAAATGTCTGGTTTGCATCTTTGTTTCGTCTAATAATAATTTACCTGTCTGAGACGGTTCATGTTTTTTGTCAAAGAACAAAAGCTGAACCAGAAGCTTGCTATGGTGTCAACTAACTAGACTGCTTTAAGACGTGCTGCTTTGATTTTAACTTCTGTGTAATCCAGTTAAGAAAATATATATCATTTTTAATTACATATCCAAAATAGATCAATCCAAAGCTCAGGATGTTGTTCAGGCAGGAGATCATGACATTGCTCTTTGACCGTTATGTCCTCGATAATAGGGAGGTTAAAGGTGTTTCTCTTGAACCACTACTCCCTGCAGTATTGCTGACCAAATAGTGCCAAAAGGGCTGTAACAAAATCACATTTTCTCTGCTTGATTCAATAAATCACAATAACAACAGCTTAAAGGTGGGGTATGTCATTTATTTCAGAAACACTTTTTGTTATATTCCATGGAATGCTCTTAACATCCCGATAGTAATGAAAATATGAAATGCTTTGACAATAAATACATTCATCTGTGGAAGCCGTGGCGCTGTAGAAAGCACGACCAATCATCTGAGCCGGCTAAAGTAACTGGATGGCCTACCTGCCTGTCAGCCTCCCATCTGGGCACAAACTGATCTCGTGCCCTCATTGGTCATGTGCGCGTTCGTGTGTGTTGGAGGAGGGGCTCTGTAAGGAAGTGGCAGATTTTTTCCGGCTGTGCATTTTCAAATTCTAGCCACTCGAGCTGGGCTGAAGTCGAATAGTCCTTTTCTCTTTGGAACCTTCCTAACGGAGTGAAATGACCCGGAAGTCCCTCAGTGGCAGCCATGATAAGTATATATAGAAATGTTATTGATTGGGATAAACCCCTTGAGATGCACCATCTCGTTTTCAAGGGGGTCCCGACAATAGCAACAACTTACAGACATAAACAAAAAGACAAAATGCAAAACATGACACACAAGACAAACCACTACACAGTCTGTGAAGTGAAATTCAAGCAATGCACACAATCATTACAATTTGAGACAGTCGAGCAAATCAGTTTCATCAATATCAGTTATAACAAGTGCAGACCAGCTGAAAGTGAGATAACAATGCATGTTTAAATAAACCCAATGATGCAAGAGATCTAATAGCAGCAGGTAAAGTATTCCAGTCAGTTGGGGCTTTGAACATGAACGCTCTTCTGCCAATCCATTTTTTTGCAGAGAGGACAGAGAAATAAATCTGAACAGAATGTCTAACTTGATGATTTGGTGAGTAGGGTACAAAATACTGCTTTAAATAAGGGGGATAGTTAAGATAAATGCATTTAAATATCAGCTGAAGCCAATGCGTGTGTCTTCTTACATTTAAAGAAGGCCA